TTGAAATATTGCACTCGGGAAAAACTGTCAAAAACATATCTAATTAAAATTTTTCAACATTTAAAAGCAGTTCTCAACATATAGGATCTAGTCTTGACCATGGAATCAATTACTCTTTATTTGTTTATGATATATGTATAACTATGGTTCTACTGAGAATTTAAGATGACTTAAAAATGTCTCTTATCTATAAGCCTTTTAAGAAATACGAGGTCTATTGTCGGCCCTTATAAGGCCAACTACTTAAAACATTGGTCTATCATACCACTGAAATTATATTAAGACCGTGATTGGTAATTTACTAAGTATTAAAAATAGTATTAAATAAGTTCGGGAGGCAAGCACACTTTCTGCCCCATCTGCATTTCTATAGTAAAACTCCGCCTTAAAACTCCACTCCTGAAATCCTATCCTGCCTCAGTGAGCAGATACTCCTTTTGTGATTGGTTAGGTCAGAGGGAGGGGCCTTTGTTATTTCAAGATGGTGGCCCCCAGGGGAGCAGCAAGCCATGCGGCCAACATGGCGGCTGCCACGTCAGGCAGCTCAAAGTGGTGGCTGTCTACACTGTTCTTTGACAGAGCAAACCAAAACCCCTAAAAGATAGATGACCAACATTATATTGTAGACAAACAGAAATCTCATTAGCTGTTTATACCCTTTATAATTATCTTAAAGAATATCAATCAAATTTAAACTGTTTTCTGTATTAAAAATTTTTCAGTTGAGATCATAATATTAATCCTCTTTTTAAAATCAGACCAATGAGCAATATATTTTGAATTCCTAATTATTTAAGAGAAAACACATTTTATTTTTTCAAAAACAAGTTATACATTAGATATTTAATTATTTTCTCCCAATTCAATTTGCACTTTAAACTTTCAGAGCTTACAAGTCAAATATTAGCAGTTCTTTGATTAACTACACTTTTATATTTTTAAGAATAAATTTTAAAATCTAATAATTAACTTTAAACCATGTTTTTTCTGCCCTGCCCGGGGAAACTGAGAAGCAAACTTGCAGGTATTAAAAAATGACTATTGGCGGATAGCTGATTTCAAAGGAGCGACCTTTTGGCCGCTTGACCTTTTCTGGGAAGGTCCGCTAGCAAAAGGTGTAGCCATTGAAATGCAAATTAACATTCCTAATGATGGCTGCTGGCAGGAATTGGATTACCTCCTTGCTAGGGGAAGGGCGTGTCTACCCCTCCCTCCATAAAAAAAGGGTGTAGCTTTAAACTTTTTTAATGGCAAGAAAAGAGACCTTAAACTTTCAAAGCTTTAAATCTTAGGTAGCAAATTAAATACTTAGCATTTTTCAAATCAATACTTTTACATTTAAGGATACATTTCAAATAAAATATAAGGCATTTTCAATTAATAGATTAACCTCTATCATCT